CAGCCCCCCACGCTCCGCAGGCAGCGACCGCGGGGCAGCTCAGCGCGGCACGGCAGACCGGGCTCCCACCCCGCAGGCAGCCAGCGCGTTCCGGTGTCTCGGCGCTCCACGTTTCAGCAAGGCATTGCCCTCTACAGCCGTGGCTCCTCTTGCGAGCACAGCTACGCTCCTCTGCGGGTCGTGGTGAAAAACAGTCCTGGCTATTCGTGAACTCCTGAAACGCTGCCGTTAACCGACGCGAAGCCATGCCCAGAAGGCAGTTTGTAACTCTGCATTATACCCACCACGACCAAGAGGACAGAGCCACGCCGAAGCAGTGGCCCTCGGCACGCTGCCTCCCTGAACAGGGCAGCACTGGGCAGAGAAACAGGAGATGCAAACCTGTGACCTCCACCCCAGCACATCACCAACACCAACCCTGCTGTTTCCTGACTTAGGGGGGACTCTGTTATGCTTTGAAAATAGTTTAAAAAAGAAAAACGTGTACTACACGATCTAATTCATCTGAGCTTCGGCTGCAGAACTTCGGTGGCAGAAAGGATCCTGGCTATATTTGGAACATGGATACAACGTGGAGCTTTCTTCAGCACAACGATTATTTAATTTCTTAGTGTCCAGACCTTCACTTCAGTTGGACCTTTTAAAGCAATTTACTTCAAAAGCTAAGGAAAAAAAATAACGCTAGTTAAAGAAACCCTGAAAGCAGGGGCTGTGCTCCGAGCCCCACGGCCGGGTTGTGTCAGCGCAGATGGTCGTCACCTCCTCCAGGGAGGAGGAGAAGCTGCCAGAACCACGCGCACATCCAAGCCTACCCAAGTTAAAGTTTTATTGGAAACATTCGAAAGCTCTAGTAACAAGATCACCTCATAGTACAAATATAGATTGAAATGCATAAACTAAACCAATTAAAAATCTACTCATGATTACTGTACATTAGTGGAATATTACTCCTGACTACCCACTTGGAGAATGACCTGGAATGAAAGCTGAGTTAGGAGAAAGAGCTCTAGAAACAAAAGACAGTCTGCCCAGGACAAGATTATTCTTCTCTCTCCCACAGGCGTCCTCTGCGGAGACAAACACAAACTGAGGGCTCTGAAGCTTTGAGGAGTTCAGTCTTCCACGTCCCGTTACGCTTCCAGTCACACGGTCACAGCATAAACTGGAGCCCAGTTACCAGAATCCTCTACGTTCCGTTTGTCCTCGAATTGCCAGGAGGCACTCGCAGAGTAACTGGGACTTTCACAGGCTAGAGAGGGCAGGGATCCCCTTCCACGGCGCAAAGCTCGGCAGGAGAACTTGATACACGGACAAGCATTTGCTTAGAACTAAATCCAGCTGGCAGTAACTTCACTCAGCATCCGTCGACTTATAGTGATCATCATCCACAGTGGAGTAGATGTGTCCCTCACTGCTGAGGAATTCAACTGCTTGCCTTTGAAGGAAAAAAAAATAAAAAAATAAAAAAGAGGGAATTGCTAACGAGCTCCTATTAACGGCTTTCTCTCAGGAATTTCCCACTTAAGGGCCCCATCCCTACTGCTCCCCTCTGGCACCAGCCAAGGGGGCTCTCGGGGCCTGCGTCCTGTGAGCAGCTGAAGCGCTGCTCCACGGCGCAGCGGGGAGGGAAAGCTCCCCAAAGCAGTGGCAATACGCTCCCCGGCAGCTCCGACTGCGCCTGCCGCAGACGGGAAGGCCACCGCTCTGGGACTTCCCACGTACCAGCAGGACCTAGGGCTCTGCTTCACAGGGGCAGAACACGCGACGATAAGGGACGGTAATTACTGGCTTTAGGCTCCACCGTTCTTCTAAGTCTCAGGGAGGAGAAGCGGTAAGAGGCAGCGAAGGAGCGGAGACCAGAAACGGTCTACGCCCAAGTTTTCATCGGTGTGCAGAGAGCAGGAGAAAATACTGCGGCGGCCCTGCACCGCTCCCAGGTACCTATCGCTTTGCTACCGAGTTGCTGAGCAGCTTGTTTGGAGCAGAGGGCGCGAGGGATTTTATCACCCCTTCCATCACCCCTACTGCATCGTACTGGGAACGTCTGAAATCCAGTCCCTTCGGCACTTACAGGGGCCTACGGGACAGATGGGGACAATCTTTTAAGCAAGGCCTGTAACAACAGGACAAGGAGCAATGGCTTTAAATTAAGGGAGGGGAGATCTAGACTGGATAGAAGGAAGAAATTTTTTAGCATGGGGGTGGTGAAACCCTGGCACAGGCTGCCCAGAGAGGCAGTGGAGGCCCCACCCCTGGAAACACTCCAGGCCAGGCTGGACGGGCTCCAAGCACCCTGGTCTGGCTGCAGATGTCCCTGCTCACTGCAGGGGGGTTGGGCTGGATGCCCTCTGAAGGTCCCCTCCCACCCAACCCATTCTACGATTCTATAAATTACCAGTGCTGTTTCACAAGTAAGGATCTAGGCTTGCCCACTGTTTTCCTCTCTGCCTCCTTTTACCAGCCTCCAGGAAGCACTGCCTGGTTCCCAGCACACCCTGCGTTTCTTCGCACTTACTTGATTGTTGACATGCTCATATTGTGGAGCTGAAGCTTCAGCTCTTGCAGACTCATCCCTTCTGGGACAGGGCAGTTTTTAATCAAGTTCAGCACCTGGAAAAGCGTGAACCACCATCAGCACGCGGCGAAGCTTCCCCACCACCGACAGACAGCAAGGCTGAGGCAGAACTATCTGTCCCCAAAGAGGAACGGAGCTTGCACGTCTTCGCCCTGCCCCGGGCCGCAGCAGCCTCCGCTGCGCCTGCTGCGCTCCCGGAGAAGCTGCCTGCACCCACCTGACTCTGATGCGCTGTGAGTCCGTTCACGGGCAGGCTGCCTCCCCCTCCGTAGCCCCCCATGTCGCCGATCCCAGCGGAGGAGAACGACTGAGGCACTCTTGACGCTGACTGCAGTGAGGAGAGGAAAATCGCTGCGGTTACGCAGGCTGCCACGAGCCCGCGGCATTAAAGACTCAGTGTTACTTCAGAGAAACAGTACTTAAAAACAGAGTCCTAAAAGAAACCGCTGGAAACGGACTGCAACGCAACCTCTCTCCAAGGAAACCAGGACTGCTGTCACACCTCCACTGCAGCCCCCCAACAGCTTCACGTTTTCCAGCCCCACAGCCTGCGTACAATTCCCACAGAAGATGAGAGAGAACCAGGAAGCACCAAGACAGAATCAGGACTTTCGAATACGTACCATAAGATTTTTTCTGAGGATCATGTGCGCGTTGACAATCTCTAGTATGTGTGTGGTGAACTCATTCATATTTTCCAGAGGCATGATCTTAAAGGCCACCAAGCTTTTCTTATTCTTTCAGAGAAATAAAAGAAAAAGCGCGTCACAGAACACGCTTACCAGCCAACCCAAGCACCCTCCCCAGCGACAGGGACGGCAGCGGGCAGGGAGCTCGTCCGCACGCAACCAGCCCAAAATCTTCCAACTTACTTTTTCATACGTGATTTTGCAAGACAATGCAGACAGGGTAGCTTCCCTCTCTAACCAGCTGGTGATTTGCTGCATTTTGCTTTAACGCACCGTTATTTGAATATTTATTCATAAATTTAGTTAGAATATTTAGTTACGAGGCCACCCCATCACACAATATGCTACAAGTGTCCCCATTAACCAGAACATGGTCTGAGCTCTGCAGTGCAAACACCCCAGAACCTGGTGGCCAGCACTCTGCTCCGCTGGGAACAACACACTGGTGCAGAGCGGTGCTCTGAACGGGCCCTCTGTCCTCTGCATTGAGCAACAATTAAAGTGTTACTGAGCACAGCCTTGGCAAAATACATCCAAGGATTTGTCCACAGGAAGGGATGAGCAAAGACCACGACTGTGGGGATGTTCCAAGGGAGCCCACTAACGCCGTGCCAGACCACCCCTCCTTCACGGCACTGCTCCAGCCTCGGCACTTGAGGAGACAGAGAGGGGCACCACGGTCTCACCTGGAAAGAACGGAGGTGACCAGCTACTTTTACGTAAGTTCCTGGAGGTACCACAACATTCTCGCCACCTGCCTCCTAGCAGAGAGGAAAAGGAGAAAGGAAGGTTTTGCTGACCCACATCTCCATTTCTCAGTTATCACAATAAATGACTTAGGAAAGGAGGCTTATCTCCAGCAAACACAAATGGCACGCGTTCCTACGTCCAGCAAGAGCAGCTGGGTAGACATAACCGTAAACAGAAAACAAGAGAAAAAAAATATTTGCTTATTTGAACATACTGTACACTTGACAGCAGTCAGAGCCAGCTGTCTGCTCTGCTGTCTCTGTCTACCTCGGAGAGATTTTCACAGAGCAACAAAAGTAAAGATCCCTCTAACAGTAAAAAAGCAGGTGTCCAACTACATACCTTGGCTAAGGGAATGGAAGCAGTCCAGAACCTTTTCTGAAGTTACGATAAACTTGCAGTTAAGCCAGCTGAATGTCTGCCTAACTACTCTCCAAATATTGTTCAGCTAAACTCAACTGTTCGCCTTCAAATGCACGTTACCGTAATGTGGGCTAGCTGTAAAGGCCTGCTATACCAGCAGTGAGAATTATCAGCACTGCGGGAGGCATGCACCAGGACACAAGACGATAGTCATCAGCACACGGCTTTGCCTCGGTCACTGAGCCGCACACGAAGGTCTCCGTTTGCTCCCTCTCCTCCTAAGAGGAGGCTGAGGGGGGGCCTTATCGCTCTCTACAGCGACCTGCAAGGAGGTCGTAGTGAGGTGGGTGTTGGTCTCCTCTCCCAAGTAACCAGCAATAAGACAAGAGACAATGGCCTCAGGCTGCGTCAGGGGAGGTTCAGATTGGATATTAGGAAAAATTTCTTTACTGAAGGAGTGGTCAGGCATTGGACCAGGCTGCCCAGGGCAGTGGTGGAGTCCCCATCCTGCAGGGGTTTAAAAAGCGTGTGGATGTGCCACTTTGGGACAGGGTTTAGCAGGTGTGGTGGTGTTGGTGGGATGGTTGGACTCGATGATCTTAGAGGGCTTTTCCAACCTATGATTCTATGAGCGTCCACTGTTCACGTGGTTCAGCTGCGGCGTCACAGTCAAGCTTCAGCAGCTAAACTCAAGAAAAAGTATTCAAAGGGATTGGCTGTAGAACCACGTATGAATTACAAAACAGGAGAAGAGTCGTGCACAGCACCAGGGATGGCTGCTACAGCAGCATCTCCCTCGGCTTCCAGAGGCACGTTATTCCTAAACCCCTCCTCAGAACAGCCACACCTTTTTGGGAAGCTCTCCCTCTTCACCGCTCCCGAAAGCTCTGGAAGCAGCAGGTTCGCAAGGAATCTGGCGCTTACGTCCGTATCGACCCACTGCCTGACGTCCATCGGGGCTGCCGTCATGTCGTCCACCTTGTAGAGAATGTTCGTCGGCGCCTTCTCGGCGTGCCGGATGATCCCCATGATGGTGACCTGCGCGGGCGGGCGGCGGGACCAGGTTAGCGGGGGGCCCGCCGGCCCGCTCC